TGTTCTGGATAAAAATATGTTTACTGGTGATACAAACAACTCTATTATTCGTATGGATATTCACAGCATATCAGGAATTTATATTTGCCTTTAGCATGAAAGGAGCAATATGCATACTGCGTGGATCTTATTTTTTGCTTTTTAATATCATCTGGCAGATCTGCAATAATTTCGTGAAAGTACAGTCTTACTTAGAGCACCTATACATTGATCCAATACCAATCTCAAGGAAAGTGCAGAAAGTATTAGAAGCACACCGAATGTACTATAAAGTTATCCGTATGATGAACGATACTCGTGAAATTTTCAAGTATCCATTGTCTTTCTATTTGCTTCAACTGATTTTTAATACCTGTATAAGTGGATACTCTTTTTGTCGCATGATGTTGGGAAACCCTTTCGATGTAAATAGCCAGATCAGTGAATGGCTCTTAATGTTTCTATGTCTCTTTAGCTTATTCGAATTCTACATTCTGACCAGCGTGGCTAACATGGCTAGTAGATTGCATGATGAGACATTTATAATTTTGCGGTACTCTAATATTGATTCGGATCTAATAGAAAGAAGTGTATGCACTCTATTTACACTTTATGTTATAATGCTAACGATATCTTTCTCTCTCTCTCGTAGAATACCTGGCTGGCTCTGCACCTAACATGGCAAAACAAGGGCATCACAGTCTTTGAAGCTCTGAAGATCGACCTTCAGTTATTCTTTCTAGTAGTTGTGGGCATTGTACTTCATATAATATACATAATACAAAGCGACTACGATATTTTGTAAAAATCACTTTAATTATTTAGTGTCATAAAGATAGTTGTAATTATTAAACTGTAATTATTCAACAAAACTAGTAATTATTAACTAGCTTTTAGATTTGATAAAATCAATTTTGTATTTAAACTTTTCAGATCATATATGTGATATGATTTTATCTATTTAAAATTGATTAATCATTGTTAGATTGAACATGCAATATAATCAATTTATTTGAAATTTGATTAACGTGAGAGTTATACATGTGATATTTATTATCGATAGCGTGTTGTTGTTTAACATTAATTTCCATGTGCAGCCCTCATTGGTAGACGAACTTCATGTTCGATATTGAATGAAAAAGTTATCGAATGAACACCAAACATCCCCGATGCAACTCTGCACGTTCTGTAGCCCTGGAAAACCACGCCAGTCATTTTTGTTTTGATAAGGATAAAAAAGAGCGTGGCCTGAGAAAATTTGCACAAATCACACAAAAAGCGCCACAAGCAATTGCAAAAACGTTGCAAAGTGTGTGGAATGTTGTGCCGCGCAAAGTGTACACCATATTGAGCGCCACAGCGCATACGTGGAACGCAACGTGTGGCCCTTGGCAAAGCAGCAGCCGCGACCGAAACGAGCAGACATCTAAAATAACAAACCGACGGGGTGCTTGTGCAAATGGCTGCGACTTTTCGATTTAATTGTATAACATTACCTTCATGAGCAGACAATAATAAAACAAAGCTGACGCTCGCGCTGACGATTTTCTCGAATACCTCAAAGGGCGCAACCTAATTAACGAAAGCAAGTAAAATGCATTTGAACCATGCGACGGCCGCGACAGCTGCTATGGCTAACTATCAGCACTATGCGCCTGCACAGCTTGCCACGCATAGCGTAGGCGGCGGCGGCGGAGGTGGTGGCGGAGGCGGCAGTGGTGGTGGCGGCAGTTCCGGTGGCGGGGGCATTGGTCCCAATAGCTTACAGCAGCCAACGACTATTGCGAGCCTGCAGCAGAGTCCGTTTGCCCTGCATCAATTGACTGCCGTGCAGGCCATACAGCATCCCACCCATCAAGCCATGCTTCACCCACAGCACCCGCTTGTCCACCTGCTTGACATCTCGACGACCACAACGAACAGCGGTGGCAATCATACGCCCATATCGCCCATGAAACAGGAGGTGCAGAGCGTCATTAGTGAGGATGAGTCTGTGGTGGACGATCCGCGCAAGAAGAAACAGTGCCACGTGTGCAAAAACAAGTTCCGGCAGCTGACCACGTTACGCAATCATATGAAAATACACACAGACGAACGTCCCTACAAGTGTAAGCACTGCGACAAGGCCTTCCGCCAAATATCGACGCTGACGAACCATGTGAAGATCCACACCGGCGAGAAACCGTTTACATGCAATATTTGCGCCAAGGACTTTCGCCAACAGAGCACGCTCATAAATCACATCAAGACGCATAAGGGTAAGTGCGGGACGAACGAATCAATTTGATCTGAGTATATATATGTATATATATATATGTGTATAAATATATATATTAAAAATATAGCTTCCAGTATCCTAAACTTCACTTCTTGACTTTAATCCAAACACACACACACATACTCATGCAATTGCAGCGGCTGAGTCAAGCACGCCGACGTCGCTACTCAACTATCAGCCGCCGTCCTCTTCCGGCAAGCACAGCCGTAAATCGCAGTCGAATCAGATGCACAACGCCTACCAGCAGCAGCATCAACAGCAGCGTGTACAAATCTCAAAGACTCTATATTCGGGCACCTACAGTTCGCCACAGGCGGAGGAGCTGGTGAAACCGTATCAGTGCAGTGTGTGCAAGCGACGTTTTCCGCAGCTGAGCACGCTGCACAATCACGAGCGGACGCACATCGATCCTAAGCCGTACAAGTGTGAAACTTGCGACAAGTCCTTCAGCCAGCTAGCGACATTGGCCAATCACAAAAAGATACACACCGGCGATAAGCCATACACGTGTTCCTATTGCCACATGCAGTTCCGGCAGCAGAGCACGCTCACCAACCACATGAAGACGCACACACATCTAACCAGCCAGCCAGCCACAGTCACAGCCACAGGTGAGCCGCTTGTGTGTTCGCCCTACAACTGAGCCGCTTTCTGTTATCACTGTGTGCATTGATCATTAACGCACTTCCCTAACGAAGCTTTTATTTAAATTTTGTACGCATGCAAACCAATCAACAACCAATCAACAACCAATCAACACCCCAACAACAACAACTACTACTACAACGATCAACAACCAACTGAACTGTACGGTTAATCCAACTATCTATCAATCAACCAACCCCATCTATGCAACGATCAATACATATGTTCGGACTACTAGTGGATCACTCAACCATGCCAGCGCCCCTTGTTCCCGGCACGCAGCAGCTAACGAGCGGCTTGCTACCCAACAACCTGCACAGCACAACGCCCAACATCCTTCAACTGGACCACCATCCGCTGCTACACTTCCTCGATGGCAGCACAACAGTGAGCTCTGTGGTGGCCAGCAATGTAGCAGCGGCGGCGGCGGTCAACACCAAAGTCGAACACTACCAAAATGCGCAGGGTGTTCGATTAAATGTGGGCAATATAAATATGCTGAAGGGTGACAATCCGGATCGGCCGTTTGGCTGCAGCGTCTGCCGGCGGTTCTTTTCGCAGCAGAGCACTCTGGTCAACCACATCAAAACGCACACGGGCGAGAAGCCGTACAAGTGCAAGATCTGTGAGGTTAGTTTCCGGCAAGTGGCCACGCTCAATAACCACATGAAGATCCACACCGGAGAGAAGCCCTACAACTGTTCCTACTGTCCCAAGCAGTTCCGGCAAAAGAGCACACTACAAAACCATTTGCGGGTCCACACGTGCTAGGTTAGCACCCAGCCAGAGTCCCCAAGCCCGAGCCAGCTCGCTCGACCGACCGAACGCCCGCCCGCCCGCATGTCTGTCAGCCAGTCAGCCAAGCAGCCATTGAGGAATCGTGCAATATACATAAGCACATACAGTTATACTAGATACAGAAACCGATCGGATACATGCATAAAATATATACATAAAATACATACAAACATGCATAATACATACATAAACATATATACATATATATATATATATGTATTTATATATATATATTTGAATATATACTCGAAAAGTGTTATTTACCTGCTGTGCAGAGCGCAATTGTATGTAAACTATAATAGAGCTGATCCACATGCATGTCCAACTGTAAGTTAAGTCTAGACGTACTCTCGTACATACATATTTGTACATGAATATATATACAACTGTGTGCGTATATACACATGCACACAGTAACCAATAACACATGCATACACACACACGCATAATACAGGGTGTTTAAGCCTAAACAAAACTAAACTCTAATCTAATCCTACTTATTAGCTTCTTAACTGTTGTCACCTACCCCCCTCTCTCCCGACCTCCATACAACCTTTCAGTTTCAGTGCCGAAGGAGAAACATTGATTCTTAGCTTCTCGTCGTGTTAAGTGTTAAGCCGAACCTAATATATATAATGAAAAAATCTAGTTATTGCTACTATACTGTGTAATACCCCTCCCATGCGCCATCCCGCTAAACGTAAGGCGTAATCAAAAAAGAAAAGAAAACAAAAAACTATTCAAATAAGTGTACTCTTAGCGCATATTTAGCAGCATCTTTTACTCACATGACTAAAGCAGAACGATGAAAAACATCCAAATATCGTATAGTCGCAATCGCGTTAATAAATCCCCCTAAAAACCGGATTGCTTATAGAACAAAACGTAGTAAACGGAGAGACAAGAGGTCCTAAATTAAGTGAAATAAAATTGTAAAACAGCTAAATTGAAAATGAGAATGACCGTAAATGTTGTAGAAAATATATAGTATATATATAAATATATATAAACTATTTGTAATTGTAAGCAAAAAGCAACAACAATAAAACGAATAAATGCAAAACAAAATTTAGACTCATACTGTGTCAAGCCTCAGCTAATCGAACTCTCGAACTCAGTTACTCAAATAACTTCATGGAACATCCCTTAATTGGCCTCAATTAAATTTCTGTATGCCCTTTCATTCGACGACTGAATTAATATCCCCTAAATCATGATTTCATTCACTCACCCCAAGTGAAGACAGTTCATTGGAAACAGTTTGTCCAAATGAAAGGAAACGAATGTGTTAAATGTTTATTTCAAGTCAAATATGTTTTCAGGTCGTACAATTTTGGTTGGTTTTATGAAAAAAAAAAGTGTATTTCGTGTATATAGTACACTAAATTTATAATAAGCACTTTAGCATTAAACTTTCTTAATGTTTATGAGTGTTGCACGTTGTTCTTGTTCTTGAGAAAGCCTCTCGAGTAGCTCTGTCATAAGATCCCACATATATACATATATATGTATATATATATTATGAGTAATAGTTATATTTATGAATTTGTGTTTTGAAACAACAGGAATCGAATACATTAGATTAGTGTCAGTGAATTGGAATCGTTACGAAATTTTGGTGCTGGTTTTTATTGTAGATAGATATACGTATCCTTTATAAAACGAATAAGCCTAAACGTACTGATGGGGCCTCTCAACATTTGGGGGCCATATTAGCTATTATTATATTGTAGACATTTATTGGGACTAACATACCAATTAGCTTAATTCATAATTCTTGATTGACTCTACACGACGCTGATTTGAACAGCGAATCGGTTTCTTTGGCTGGGTGCCAAGGCATTTTTTGAGTGGGACAGAATATACAATAGACGAGGCATGGTTTTAGCTTTAGAATAATATGGGGCGTGTATAAATAGACTATATTTGTATACCATAGCTCAAAAGTTGTACTTAGATGTAGGAAGATAAACCAAAATAACTATTTAAATAACCAGCGAAGAATCACGCTAACCGTTAGCCCAATTAAAGCATAGAATAGAGACTTGACCACCGTCGATAGGGAAACGCCGCCGCCAAAAGGCTCCTGTGAACTGATGCTGCCATTCCTCAAGTGCGGCGCATACTGGATGCGTTCCAGCCGGTTTGTGATGTCGTTCAGCTGCTTCGAATGGTTTGCCAGCGTTAGGGTCATCTGCTCGACGGCCAAGGCGAGTCTGAAATATATATGAAGAAAAATATCAATATTTAAAATGCAATGCTTGTTCGCAGAGATCGGACACTCACTGTCTCATGGCGGCGCTGTTTGAACCACGCTTAACGCCACCCTGCGGCGATTGACTTGAGTCTGAATAGGTGTCGCGAGGGGCCAACACGAGGGACTTGTTTCTAGTTTTTGAGGCCTTTGAGCTGAGGGCGCTCAATCCTCTACCTGACTGACTTCCAACGTCTTTTCCAACACGCAATACATTATTTCGCGTCTCGGTAAGCACCTTATAATTACACTCGTATTGGCGCACGTCGTTGCGCACGTCCCATGGTCGCAAATCCGCATACTTGTATATCCAATCACCGTCTCCGTTAAGTTCGAAGAGGGTCGGAACATGCGGTTTGTCGTTATCGATACGTGATTTGGCTGCAGCCCGTTGGTTCTCCTCCAGCACGGTTTTCTCGTCGGTGGCAGCCACTTGATCTTCTCGTGCTATCGCATCGGACACAAGACTCCAGAGTCGTGCCGATTCCGTTGGTAATTGCTTCTCCATTGGCACCAGGTAACGTGTCAGCCGCTTCGACCGCATCTCTGAATCAACCTTCAATAACACACTTTCCTCACCCGTTTTTAGATCCTTCAGTCGTAACTCCTTATCCCAGTGACCGCTAATAGTGGCTAAAGTTTCTTTACCCAATTTAATTTTGCCAACGACCATATTTGTGGCGTCGGAGCCGCCAAGGAATGGTTTCAGCTTGAATTCGAGCTCCGTCTTGTAACCGGTGTTCTCGCACTCGATGTTTATCTTGCCACCGAGTTCCATGGACAATGTACCCATGAGTATGCCCTTGCAGTGGGCATAAGGCGTGGTTGCCGTATAAATTTCGCCACGTGGCAGTAGCGTCATCGTGGCCATACCCTCTAGTACGGCCGACGTGCTATTGCCATAGAACTTCGATTTCGCCAAGATGGAGCAGGAGATACTGAAGCCATCCTCGCGATTCGTTACATAAAACGCCGAAACCGGCGGATGGTGCGAGACCTGCTCGGCTATGTAGAAGGTGCGACTGCCGTTTGAGTGTTGCCAATAGCAACGAAACGTTTCGCCCAATATGGGATTGTATGGTTTCTTAAGGCCTTTGGGTTTCTTGTAGAAACCGGACAGGTACCATTGCACAACGAACTTCATGCGTGTGTACGCGTCATCTTCATGGACAGCCCTGTGAAAGAGCAATTGCCAATTGTGAGAACCGAAAAGTAGACTTAGGAAGAGCACATACCTAGAGAGCAAGTCCGCATGATAGTAAGAGTCTGACAACTTGTCCAGAAAAGAGCGCGGCTCAAGAATAAAGGTAGGTAGTACTACCTTGCTTAGATCCATGCCGGGTCGCACCTGCTTTACGATACACCAGATGAGACTCTTGTTCTCCTCGGCCAACTCCTCCACTTGCTCGCCTTGCTACAAAACAAAAAAACGAATCCAAAATTAACGGAAACGAATTCATCAGTTGCGAAATGGCGTCCACTTACCTCGCCAAACTCTTCTTCTTGAAATGGCACATAGCTAGTTTCCTGGCATGGGAGTTGTTCACCGGCATCATCTTCATGTGCCGGCTCTGACTCTGAATCGGTCTCCAGACCGGACATTGCCGCATTGGGCGCCTCATTTTGACTGTCAGCGTCCAGATCTGTAATGAGTTGAGATAAAAGGCTCAACCTTGTGTTCTTCGTTGAAGTTTCTCTAGCTGGAACAGCAGCAATGGCAATGCCCCAATAATGGCCTATTCCATTAACTAGTGTGAATAAATCGGCTATTTGATGGGTAGATGAGTGGCTAAGATAGTTATTCGAAACTAACGACAAGCTTCACATTGCAGTTACATAAATTTTGAACAAAAAACGCCCAGACTACTTCGTGTCGGAAGCATCACAAAAACCAACTGTTCGAATTTGCTAGCAACAACAGTGACAACAACTACTATATATATATTTATATATATATAAATGGGAATTTGGTTGGGGGCCTTCACCCTGCACGTTGATTTGAAATCGCGGTACCAGCAGGCAATCGGGTGGGGCACTGACTGGCCTAGAGCCGGCTGCCCTTGGGCAGACACTGCCGCTAGCGAAGTCCTCTTCGTCATCACTGGAGCTGCTCCCGCAGAGTGCGGCGCCTATCGACAGCGATTTGCCGATGGGAGACAGATGCCTGCCGATGCGTCGGCCAGGATTTAATTCAGAGGCGTTAGAGGCATCGCTGGCGCGTCGCAGCTGGTTCGAGCGTTGGCCAAAACGTGGCAGGCGCTTGGTGCGCTCCCAGTTGCTAACAGCGCTGCTGTACAGCTGCTGCAGTAGCTGCGGTGTCTGAGCGCGTGGCGATGGGCTGTTATGTGAGCGCGAGTTCTCCTGCTCAGCCGGCGGCGCTAGCCACTGCTGCATCCACTTACCATGATCGTTGAAATGCTTCTCATAGTCGGCTTCCGACCACTGAGCCTCGTCCGAGGCGGGCAACGGCTCTTCGGTGTAGTTGTTGGACGGCGTGGTGCTGCTATTGGACCGCAACAATAGAGCCGAGCATCGCAGCGATAGCTCCAGTGCATCCATCCAGCACTTGCCAGCCGCCTGGCTGGGAGCTCGAAAGATCAAGTACGCTGTGGGCAGCGGTTGGACCACAGCGCCTGCAAGAGAATCACCAGGTGAGGCAATGCCACAGACGAGCTACACAATCAATTACCTATGGTCTCCTTGTCTGGTCCGCGTGGCGCCCAAATGGGTTGCTCCAACGGATGAAAGAGCTTGAAACAGAAGCCATCCTTTTTGCTGGGCCGCTCAATCACCTGGCATGAACTGAGCATCACTGTGCCCACCCAGTGGCTGCTCTTTGTCTTTTGGCTCTTGTAGATGAGCAACAGGCCGGGCTTCAGCACACACCACAACTTCGTCCAGGACTTAAGTGTGCCGCGCACCTGCAAAAGAATCGACGACACTTTGTGTCAAGAGCCTGACTGGGCGTCTGCTTAAGTAATTAGCACTCACCTTTAGCCAATCAGCCAGCACTATGACCGCCGGATCCTGCAGGGAATTCATCAACTCACTAGCCACGCGCTTCTTCTCACGTCGATAGTTCTTGCGCTGTGCCTTATACGACTCCTTGCGGTTGAGTTTGGCCGCATCTGCAGCAGACTGTCGAGAGGCGAGAGACGATTAGTTGGATGGGTAGTTAGTTAGTTAGTTAGTTAGTCAGTTAGTTAGGGTGTCATTATATGAGCAGCAGAGTTTTCGCTGCATGTGTCTGCACCTGTCTACAGTTCCGGAAAACATTCAAATATTTCCAAAACATTCGCAGTCACTTGCTTTGTCTCGAGGATGTCTGTGCATACGCCAAACGACCAACTTCCTCTAACACATTGCTACACTCGGATTTGAAAACTAATTCATATACCAGACGTTAATCTAATTAGCGCTTTAAACAAAATTTTCACACAAATAAATAAACCGAAACAAAAAGATATAAAAAAAACCAAAAATTAAACTATCAGCAGCTATCTGTATGTCTTCACTAGAAGATACCCTGGACACTAACTTTTGAAAACGAAACCAATTTAGTTCACATCTACCGCAGTAAGCTATTAAAATATGGGAGAATTTGGGTGAGATATTTTGTAAATATTAAAATTCATTCGAATGCCAAATAAACCAACTAAACAACGAAACGCTATAAACATAAAGCAATTCCCTCTCTCGCACGCAGCCACTGGCAGATTGCCCATAGATTACAGCAAGATTTCCAGTGGAAACCGCAAATTGAAACCGGAATAATGTGATTGGATTTCACGCAATATATCATGAAAAAAATATAGTCAACTTTATCGAGTATTATAAATTTTTTGCCATTTACTTTTTATGTTGTTCAGTTATGAATATTCTCAAATATAAATGTATGTAATTGTATATAAAACATATGTATTATATATACCAAAAAGTTGACTGAGCCTCGCTCCGGCCACTGTATAATTGGAAGCCGTATAAATAGTATATTACGGCTTATCAACTTTTCACGTGGTCTATGTCCATTGATATGCAATCTGTGCTTCTGGCCTCAGCAGACACCACACATCGATTATAGCTGCATTAGTCAGCTCTTATCACGTAGCCCTTATCGGTTAGTTAGCCACAGACAATTACATTTAGGGCAGAAATCATGACCCACTTTTGGCATTTCTGATTTGTCTTAAACTTTTCTTATTCTTTTGTTCGTATATTGAAAAATGTTTGTTTGGGGGAAAGACTCACCTTATCTGCCGCATTGCCATCGCGAGTATCTGCGGCCCAATTGGCGATTCCTGCAATAAGAAAGTGAATTGAACATTTATAAACGCTGTGCTGGCTGATTCTCTAATTATTTATGGCCCGAATTGAATGGGGTTAGCAGCGGCTAAGATCTAAAAGCAATTTGGAAAGATGTTTTCACAGCCTATTTGTGTATTGTGTATGCTAATGTTGTGCTACACATACATACATACATATGTATATGTTCAAGTGTGTCTGTGTGTGTGTGTGTGTGTGTAGAACACCACCCGATGTATAAAGTACATAAAAACAAATCAACATTGGCTCAAGGTAGGCCGCGCGGCAGCAGCAAACGTGGCGCGCTCTGTTTTATTTATTTTTCGAATATGTTTTAATTTATTTCGCAAGACACAAACAGACACACACACACACACATAGTACATATGCAAATGAGCTGTTGAGAATGTTCGCTGCGATGCTCAGCCTCCCTCACTCTCACTCGCACGCTCAGTGGCTGTTTCTCTCTTTCTTCTTTTTAGATCTGTCAGCTTGTCTGGTCAAGCGGCTCGCACTTGCACTTTAATCATAATTGCGCACGCTATCATTAAATTATTATTATTTTGTACTATTATTATTTTAATTTTCTTCTTCTTCTGTTTGCTTATTCAATTCAAAGTACAGAGACTATTTTTTGTATTCTGTAGTTAATGTCGCATCTGCTATGGCGCACGTAATAGAAAAATCAAATAAATTTCAATTCATAATTGGGCACACTATGTGGAGGGCGTGCGGAGGCGTGGCAGCTGGCACTTGCTTTGTAGTAGATTCATTTGGTATTCGCGCTGCTCCACGCTGGTCAGCCAGCAGAAGAATGTGCGTAGAAGAAGCTGCGAGCGGCGAGCTGCGTTAATTGGCGCCTTTGCATTTGCTGAACGTACGCGTGTACTACATGACGTATACGCGATGCGACGCGACGCTGGCAATCAGAAATAACACGTATCCGCAACCGTAACCGTCAACGAATTGTGAAACTGTAGTGAGATGGCGCGCGAATGCGTGTTGGGATGCCCAGTCAGACTCGCCGACTGGCTGCCTGTCCGATTGAGAGATATATATCGGCATGCGCAGCGAACGAAAACAAAACGCAGCTAACTACGGAGCCGGAGCCGCAACGACAACTGAATATGCCCAAAGAGCAGCGACGAGCAGCTGCCGCTGGCCCAGCGGCGATGACGCGACTGACACGGCCGCTGACGCTGGCGTCGCTGCCGCCAGACCCGCAGCCATAGCCCAATATGCCGCCATATAATAATGAGCGATTAGCTATGTAGTGGTTGCTATTGCTGTTGCTGCTGCTGCTGTTGTGGCTAACGTTTGCATGCTCGCCAAAAAAATAAAATCAAAACAACAAAAACAAAATTCAAAACATATTTTTGGGCAAACGTTTCGAATATTTAGAAAAGCTCTAGAGAGGCGCGTCTCTCGAACGCCCGATATTAAGTACTCGTGTGTTAATTTAGACAGCTCGCAGATATGATATCAGTGCGCAGTCGGCATCAGCGCCAGCGTCAGCGCCGACGCGTCGCTGCCATCTAACCTAGCCCTACTTGCTGCCGTTCGCTCTGTCTCTGTCTCTCTCTCTCTCTCTCTTTCCCTCTATCTCTTTCGTTCATTGTCACTCTCCATGTGTCAAACATTTGGGGCGTTATCGATGAGGTTATTAACTACTAAGTTCCTTTGTGCATAAGTACATGCTGTGTATGTGTGTGTGTGTGTGAGCTACACACAAGTGTTTACAATGAGCTCAAAGACGCGATCCCACACAGCGTATTAACTAAGGCTTACAATATTTATAGTCTTCAGATCAAACAGTTCAGTACTTAGGTACACACAGACTTTAAACTACATCTGTTCAGTTCCATGATCTTTCTCAACGTACAAACAGAAGTCGTTCGCTAATTAGGAAAGGGAAATGAAAAGCGAATGCCATAAAAATGTTTCATAGATAATGAAATTTACATAATAAAAAAATATGCTAATTTTAATTTAATTATTTACGATAACTATATATAAAAATATGATATTTTTATTATATATAAATATTTTTTAATTAATATGTACAACTCTGACTTATTAAGCTTATTTTTACACACTCTGAACCTAGAAAATGAATACACCTTTTTTGCGCTGAGCCAGAGCTGCCATTGTTTTTGCAGTTACCGAAAAACATAATTTTTATTCACAATTATGTGGCACCCGGAAATCATATACTTTTTTCGCTATAGCCAAAAATCATATAAAACTTTTTTCCATGAACCAAAATTCGTTTTATGTTACAGTTGCCCTAGAAACTAACAAACAGAATTTCCAGCTAAGCCATATTTTTAAATTCACTTGTGTATGTTTAGATAAACAGCTATAAAAACAATAATTATAATAGAATGTAGGATTTTTAATTCTTATCGATGCTATAAAGTTACCTTAAGCAAAAATGTTTAATTATTTGCCATCTCTAAAATAGCTTAACTTTGTTGATTCAAGCGGCGAGCAAATGTGTTAAATTATGTCATAATTCATTTCATATGTTTGCTATAATTCACATGGTAAATAAAACAATAAACAAATTCATCAGGTCGGCTGCCAGATGTGCTTGGAAATCGGAACTCCGGACTGGAGACTTGACGTTAGTTCCATTCTATTTTACTTGTAGATAAAACCAATTAGTGAGTGAGCCGAATATTCGCAAAACTCATTAGTCATATTGGAGTGTCATTGGCAGCTCGATGATTCAGGCTGTTCAGGCGAGAGTATAACAAAAAGGAGGGAATGAGAGCAAAACTCTCTTATCAGGCCGAAAAATGTTATCGTTAAGTTTTGCAATCAATGTTGTTCGAGCGGGCTTTTCAATAAAACGCCAATGCCATGTTTCCGTTCATTAATTAGGGCTTATCGAGAGTGCGAACACTTTTAAGTTCTTTTGCAACTAAATATAACTATAAATACAACGATAAGATATGATATGACAGATTGACAGGCAGCAGAGGCGTTGCCACAGCCAGGCGTGGGCAATCGTTTATCCAGCACAGCGTCAGTACAGGAACTGCGACGGGACGGAGCGAGACTGATTGCATTCAACTTGAAGTCATAATATTACAACAACAAAAAGATATATATACATATACAATACTAGTCTGACAATAACTGAAAAGCTTTTGATAATGCACCGAGCAGTGCGGCACACAATAGATGGGAACGAAAGCAAAATCATACAAATGGCAGCCAAATGCGTCACAAATATGGCAACGCTTGACGCGACGGTCATGGCTAAGTGAGTGCTTGAAATGCATACAAATGCGCTCGTTAGCCGACTGCATAGAGGGCTAACGATCTGTATGCCGCTGATCACGATTAGCGAAAGCAAAAGCAAAAGCTAAATGAGTGTGCAAAATATGTGCCACAGATGGCCCGTGGAATTCGTGAATATTCATTTAATGATCAATAAAATGATCGCTGGAATAATCAGTGATTAAATATGTATGTAGTAGGAGAAGTCGAATAATCAATGGTGGAATGATCACTAGAATGATCTTAGTATGAACTCAATGAAATGATCATTTGAATGTAGAATGAGAAGTAGAATAATAAATGGAGCGATCGGTAAAGTGTATGAACTCATCGATGATCTCTATATAGTTGAGAAGTTGAATACACAACGGAAATCTTGGTGGAATGATCAGTAGAACGATTTTAGTATGAACTCAATGAAATGATCATATAAATGTAGAATGAAAAGTTGAGTAAACAATGAAGCGATCGGTCAAGTGATCGTAGTATGAACTCAGCGAAATTATCTCTTTAGTATGAGAAATAAAAAACTGATAATACACAATGGAACGATCAGTAAAACGATCTTAGTATGGCCTCAGTAAAATACTCAAGTAAAATGATCAATGAAATGAGCTCATTTGAAGTGAAATATTCAGGGGATGTAGAAAAGAAAGGAATGCGGGAAGGATCATTGGAAAGATGATGATTGATCAAAAAACTTGATGGATAAAACTTGTAACTGATGAAGTGATCTCAACTAGAAGTAAGCATGGAATGAACAATTGATTGATAAATAAGATATGATGTAAGTCGATGCAATGATCTGTGAAATATTTTGTTGAAAGATCGGTGATAATTCGTTTTTAACTGTGAACTGTGCAAAATTTGTGGAAAAAACTTCACCTGGCGATGATGGCGCTGGGCTGTTGCTCAAACTGTCTGTGGAGGGCAGTTTGGTTAAAAGCACTTTTTGCGAGGGTCGACGCTTGAATTTAAAATCGAATACTGCAGTTAATGTGAGCAGTTAGCCCCATACATAGAATGAAATATGTTAAAAGAGAGGAAGAAATAGAGAAAGCGAGCAATATAACTATTCAGTATTCATATAATATCAATACAGAAATGTAGTTCTATGATTCTATAGTGTTACTACATACACATTTACATTCACATTTACGACATTGAGACGATTTTAGAAAGTATAACTTGACATTGACAAAAGCAGAAAACCGTAGCGAAATAAAGAACTGATAATTCGCAGCTTAAAACTTAATCATAAGTAAACCATAAACAAGAACAAACGGGAACTAATATGCAAATGAAATTTTTGACTAAATATAAAAAAAGTCATTATGATGTATGACGAGGCAGCATAGAGGCAAGGCAATATGTTAATAGATTCATAAAGTAAGCGATCGATTATTATCGATGCTATACATTTATGATTATTTTACAACTGTAATTTAATAAAATAGTATTTCCCGCATTACTTATATTTATCTCAAACATTAATTGGCTGTAACTGAATTATCGATGGGATTATAGTAAAATCCACTTTAATCAGGCTGAATGCATGTTAATTTAGAACAATTCATGCGGAACCCTATCTCCGTATTGCATCTCGACCTTTGTCTAGCTGCGGGATAGGTCATATTAGACTTGCCGATTAATCGCTGTGAATTAATTAAGTAGCGCTATCAATTTGCTGTCATCGGATAATGCGCACAGCACGCTGGCCTCAATAAACAAGTCGACGCTAGCGCTCCTTAATCTACGGCTGGCAGGCGAAAGGATGCGTCGATAGATTGCATTGATTAATTTCAAATAAAGAGCTTACGGGCGTTCCAATTACGCAATTTCAAAGCCCTTGCCACGCCTCGCAAGCCATGACGATGGCTGATATTGGCCAAGTTATTGCCAAAGGAGCGTCCATCTAAAGTTCAAAGTGCTAAATGAACGACCCGGCATGCCATGTGGTCACTAATGGTCAACTGTCGATGGCTATTAATTTGGCACTGACCAATGGCCAGTGGCATTAAAAAGAGCTGGCCACAAATGATGAATGACATCAACATGCGAATGCACTTTTGGTTATGCCAACTTTTGTTGCTGCTGTTGCTGTTTTGTTGATGATTGTTGCATATGATGTCACAACAAGCCCCAGTATGTGCCACACACACACACACACCCCCAACGGTTTATGTGTATGCATATAATCCAATTATATACTATAGTGCTGGCCAATGGCATATGTAAGTGGAGCACGGCTCTTGCGGTGGCGGCAGGGCTCGATTTGACTGGAGGGATGGATGGGCGATTCATTAGGTATGCAAACGGCGAGCGCCAGGTGGAGCTGGCAATCAATATGCATATGTGCATCGAGTTTAGCACGACTCTAATTTATTACACGGCAATTTGCCCAAAAGCAGGCAATAAAATATTCAACGAGTGAGGTACCCGTACACACACACACACACACGCACACACATATGGATTTGGATAAGTGATGCACATTCGTTCAATAGATAAATTATTCAACCCTCTGCTAGATATGACGATCAAATTCGTTCGTTATGCAAATGTAGAAGCGAAATTCATCAACGGGCAAAGCCAAAGTGGACCGGATGTGGCCCTGCGGAGAAGTGGCATAAGGGCTAGAGCTAAAGTTCATGGTGCATCTCTCACTTCTGACCTTTGCCACGGAAGCTTGGAAGCGAAACAAAAATAGAATGCAGCATGCCTTATGATACACAGGCCTGACCGTACACCCGCCCGAACTAGGCCCTGACGTACCAAAAAAAATAAAATAAAATAAAAAAATTGTATATAAAACGAAATAAAAAGCAAGAAACTAAAATGGATGGACACATCACAAAACGCAGCGACGCATCGACTTTTGTTTTTGCGCGTTTTCCCCCTGAGCAAGTGGGGCGTGGCGGGCCGGGCAGTACACACAAATATCATACTACTACATTACATATATATATAATTGTGCCAACTGCTGCATTTCTCAGCATTCATGGCCTGCAGTTGGCCCTTTCGGCGCCTTTGGCCCCACTGTGCCCCAGCCGCAGGGTACTAAAAAGTGCCTAAAAGTTTGCGCGTGTCAGCTAATTGTTTGTGTGTATGTGTGTGTATGTGTATGCTTGAACAATAGCCATTGTGCATGTATAAGTATCAAAGCACAATAAAAGATGTCTACTAAAAATTTTATGACAATTACTTACAATAAAACACATAACGAATGCAAGAGCCAAGAAAATACAGCTTAACGAATTTTTAATACACTAGGCCAAGCTCTAAGTATAAGTATGCGTACTAATTGAAGAAATGAGACTAAAATATTCAATCTAAAATATAATTTAAATGCATTTATCTCTGTATCAATAGCTGGAAACGGCTTAAAACTAAAATTATATATAATTAAAATGAATTTTCCTCAGGCAAATCATTTTGACACACAATGAATATTTAAGACACAAGGCAAATGCATTGCACCTGCGACACCAAAATCTATTTACACCTGCAGTTACCAATAGAAACTTGAGCTCGTTAGCAAATTGGCAATTAAGCCTAATATTAATTGACTGGGTCGGATGCAGTTGGGCTTTAGACAGATGACAAAAGCCCTGAGGTAATCAATAAGCAACTATGACGACCTGTACGACACGCACACAAGCATTTACAGACATAGCTACAGTAAAGTACATAGATATAAATTATAATATGAATTTCAACAACAACTTCTATCGTGGCAATTTTCAGCCATAAATTGAATATTTCATATACGAGTATATATGAAATTCATCAATTCCATTTAGCGAGCGCGTGCTGTACCACATATATATATAGATGTTAAAACGTGAATTATGACAAGAACAGGTGCAAGTGCAAGCGATACGGGGAAAATCCGATTTGTTTGCCTTTTGTCTTCAATTCAAATTGCGGTTGCTGCGGTGCAGAGCGGTCTGAGTCGCAGCAAGACAAACTAAGCTCTATCAACAATTAACACTTCACCTCCTCTCTCTGTGACTCTCTCACTTTCTCTCTTTTCCTCTTCCCACATCTCCCCCCACTTGAGGTTCGACCAGTTAAGTGACGGAGCGGAAGTGCTTGAAACCCCAGACAAAGTTAAAAGTGTGATGCGATAGTCGATGTTAGTCGCGTAGCGGGAACTGCCATTGAAATGCGAGAAACAACAAAATCAAAACAGAACATGTAAAAGTGCCAAAGTCGAACTTGACTGACTAAAATATACGCTGTACGTATTGCATAACTGCCGCATTATTGCCTTATTTTTGTATAAATGTATGCAACATTGTCACTATACAGTTCACCGCTTTACAATTATATACAAAGCATCAGAGAGCGGAGGTATAGATGTGTATATATATATATATAACTATAGTCATATATATATATATATATATATATATATATATATATAACGAATTTGAATGAAGTTGCCATTATATACATATAATATTACAAAGTCACCAATAAGTCTACCTTTCCTTAAACACATTAAGTGCAGGGTATGCAAATTGAGCCAGCAACAAAACACAGATTAGCATAAGCATATATAAGTATATATGAGTGTGTGTATGTGTGTGTGTGTGTCAATGATTGAAACGAAAAAGGAGAACAACAACGAAACACGAAACAAGAGCGCAAAAAGTGAGCCTGCAATAGAGGCCAATATAGAAAAGCAACGCAAAATGACACGAGACGACATTGAATATCAATTGAGGCTAAGCTGGCTGAACGGACGTGTCCTGATCACCAACTCATCACCAGACGACTCACCTGACGACTGCCTGAGGCCGGCGCTGTTTGGTGGCGTTATGTTAATGCCGCTGATGCTACTGCCGCCCGCACTGGTGCCAACTCCGCCGCTCAAGCCCAAGGATTGATTGGAGGCCGCCATGGACATTATTCCGGCTGTCTGCAGCTGCAGATGACTGCCAGTGGCTGTGGGCACACTGCTCGACTGCGGCGTCTGCTGTTGGGGTGTGCCGGGCACCGAATGGGAGGCCGTGTTTGTCACTGGCGGCACCAATGTATCCCCACCGCCCGCATGCTTTGCGCTACCTATGCGAATTGGTGTGCTGCTACTTGGTAGAGCAGCAGCACCGGCACCTGTGGTGATAGGCGTCTGATGGCCGCTGCTTGAGCTGGCAACGACAGCTGGTTGCTGTTGTTGTTGTTGCTGTTGCTGTTGCTGTTGCTGTTGTTGCTGTTGCTGCATATTGACTTCTGGAGTTGTTCTTATTTGTAGTGTGCTGCTTCTTTCACTTATTGCTTAATCAGCATGGCCTCTGCTTCAGTTGGCCAGCGTGCAAGGTTGACACACTCTCACATACACGACTTACACACGCACAGACAAACACACGCAGGCTCGGCCAATTATTGATTTTGTTTAGGTTTCCCCCTTACAGCACATACAATTTTGTTTTTTCCAAATTTCTGTTTTTTAACTGTGTTGTATTATTACCAATTTGAAACTGAAATGATGCTGCTGCTTCTTTTTTTTTTTGGTTTTCATATGTATGATGTGTGCGTGTATGTGTGTTCGTTTGATTTAAGCTGGAGTGCCAGTTCCTCTGCTAGTTAGTTAATTAAAGGCAGCGCTGCAGCCACGTAACAGCCAGCATGAACCAATTAGCTTGACTGCTAAAACAGCACAACGGTCAGTATTATTATTCTTAGTCACATACACTCACTTACTCACTCGGTCGCTCAACAAGAAACACCACTAACACATATGCGAGCTTGACACACACTTTTCGTATCTCTTACAAATTTGTATTTGCCGCGTGGGCGCTCCGACGTCGTTCACGCTTCACATACAACTGAAGCTGAGACTGGCACAACACTGCGGCACACCGCGTTCGCATTCGCATTCGCGTTCATATACAAACATACAAAGATATGTGTGTATTTATATGCTCGTGTCTTATTTCCAAAAAGCTAAACTTGTTTGTACGCTTTTGTATGAGCTCATCCAATGCTCCGCCCGTTTCCCTTGCCGACGTCAGCTCTAGCGCAACACTAACAACCACCATTGTTCGTTTGTAAGATTATTATTGTGACGCGGCAAAGACGCTGGAAGTGCAAATGCGAACAAGTTGAGCAAGCTTTTTTGTTTTGGGGGAGGATTGGAAAGCTAACCGCCTACCAACCTGCATTGCTAACAGCTGATAGCTTTCAAGCTTATGGGAACGTGTAGCCTGCTATGCATGCGTGCGAAGAGTGCAGATCTATATACATGTATCTCGATGTTGAACAAATCTAGTACATTATTATTTATACGTTGCCGGCATTTTTTAGGTCTTTTCGAATATTTAAATACATTCTTAAATGTAGCTTATGGAAACATTTGAAAATGATATCGAAACACATCAAAGCTTTTCTTTAACTTAATTTTTACAGATGGTTCATGTATTTGTAATTGATCTTAACTATTTCTTGACTTAAATCCACTATCGCATGTTCTATATCATTTGGGTCCATTCATCATCTGTGGAGGCAGCGTTCCAAGCGGTGGCGGTGGTCCCATCATGGCCATTGGATTGAGAATGGGCGGTGGACGTATGCCTGTGGGTGCCATCAGTGGATTCATCATGGGTGGCATATACGGCGGCATATTGGGCATGCCTGGTCGTGGCGGAGCCCCCATGTTAGGCGGCGGTATAGAAACGCCGGATGGCTTATTGCCAGGTGCGGGACCAGCGAATGGATTGTTTGTAATCTTGCCCGCCTTGAATGCAGCTGTAGTAGCATCGATCAGATGCTGTGCCTGCTCCTCCATCCACTTTTGGTAGTAGAACTTCACATTGTCACGATGCTTGCGGCCCGTGCAATGGGTTTTGCGCACTGACGGCGAATCGTGCGTCAAATATGTATCGCAATAATCGCAGTAATACTTGGGCATGTTGACGGACAACAATTTCCAGTTGCTTTTATTATTATTTGTTTATTATTTTTAGGCAATCATTAAAAATGTTTGACACAAAAATAAAAATGAATACGCAAAGCAAAATATTGACAGACTGACCGTAGCCGCAAAGCATAGAAATACTTAAAGTCCTAAGAAAAATACTGGCACTGTCTTTAAGTGTTGAAAATAATGTATAAAATCAGTGCTGTAAAATATAAACATATTTAAAAATGATCATCGATATTGTTATCGATGGATAATCGCCTCTGTTATGCTTAACAGTTCGTTGCCGCTAATAACATTAACATTTGTTGCTAACAGTTTTTTTAAGACCGGCGAACGAGCAGGACGTATGCGCGGACGTAGGCGCTGTCGCAGTAGTTGGTGTTTGTTGTTGTGCGCACCTTTTTGAATGATGTTTCGACTGTGAATGAGCAGCAAACACGCGTAACGGCAATAAAATAGAAGAAAAGAAGAAAAAGAGCGTTTGCCAGAGAAACATAAGAAGCAATAAAATCGTAATTATTACCAAATCGTGTTCGGCGTGTAAAATGCTGCTGTATGAAGTGCAAAGCATAAACCAGTTCAGAGTGCATGAATAACTGCCGCCCAAAACGCCGGCGTGTGTGTGTGAGCGTATGTTCGGCTTACATTCAATTAAAAACCCGGCCAAAAGTCTCGCATTAAGGCGGCCAACTAGTTTATGCGTGCGAGTGTATGTGTGCGTGTGAGAGTCTGAGTAAACGGCTAAGAGCAAAGGAATTTATGTTGGCGCAGCATCGCAGCAGAGCACCAAACAGACAACAATAGGTGAAGGCGAAGGCAAAGCCAAAGACAACGCCGAACATTGGAAGGAGCCGCCGCCGACGTCGTAGTTACAGAGGATTCCAATTCCAGAAGTTGCTTGACCAGTTTTGGCTGTGAGATTTTTGTGGTCGTTGCGCGTTCTTTTGTTTTTTTATTGGCCTTTGGATACGCGCCGGGCTGAATGAGGAGGAGAGGGTGGATCAGCTAGCGATATGCCCTTTGTACAGCGCACTGTGCAGCCGGTGAATGTGGCACAGGCGACCGCCGCTAGCCTGGGGCATGCCTCCACGCGCTTCCATTGCGTGCCAGGCAAGTGCAAAAACAACAATTGCATCAACAAGCAGTCGCCGGATGAAACGGACGCCGGTACGCCCACTTCGCCCAGTCTGACTCGAGCGCTGGTCCACGGGCTGCCCAATGGCATCGACTCGAAATCTGAGCCGCGTCCGCCGGCCGCTTTGCCCATGAAGAAACTTAAGCAGCATGTTGAATTTTTGCCTTCGACCACGCCCACGACGCCTACATCGCCAACACGGTCGCGTGCTTCGCAGTCGCTGCCAAACTCGCGACAGCCGAGTCAACAGCGAGTGGCGCTGCCCGCACGCAACGCCAGCGCGCCACAGTCACCGACTGCGACGAGGATCGTCTCTGGCTACGAATTCGACTCGATCAGCAACATAACCCTAAGCAATGCGCTGCGCCAGCTGGCCAGCCTGGTCCTCATTGCCAGCGACATCTTCGACGAGCTGCAGCGGGACTTGCAGTCAGTGGGCGAGCGGGCGGGCCGAGTGCAGCGCAAAATAACGGCCGTGGAGCGGCGCGTGTGTGCCTACGATCCGAAAATGGTCACAGTTCGTAAGTATTCCCACAGAAAAGAACCGTTAACAATATTAGTTAAGCTTAAAAATAGAAACTTGCATACACACTCACACACACAAATGTGCATGCGGTTACAGTTAAAGTTCTTTGGAGCGAACACACAAGCTTTTAATATTTTGCCCTGCTTAAAAGAATATCGCAATTTGAAGAAATTTTAATGAACATTTAAAACAAATATTTAAACTGATTAAGTTAATTAACTTACAGTTTACAGCACTCATTTTATTTTTTAGTAGAAAATGCTAAAGCTTTTGTAAAAAACCAAACGTTCAGCCAATAAAATTGAGAAAAAATATTGGGTTTATATATATCAGGCTGCTACTTGAGGAGATGTCCGTTGGCAGAGCTTTCACTGTATATGGTATATGTGAACATACATACATATGTAGTTACACATGAACGCATACATGCGTATTTCAATTGCCATTCATAGCAAGTCGCGCAGGCAAAGTCAAGTGCGTTTATCAAAAGGCAGCTTATCTCGTGTCATCTCTTTCTGCTTTGCACCCTCTGCTGCTGCGGCTACTGCTTAGTATGCGTGTCTGTCGAGCTTTTGTTTGTGCCGGAATGTGTGTGTGTTTGCTGTGGGTGGCTGGCAATGGGCCGCGCTGGAATCTTATCTTAACTACGTTTTTCTTTCGTTTGCCTTGTTGTAAATTAAATTCAATTTGCCAGGCGCAAAAGCAAAGCGCGAAATTAACACCTTGTTTACTTTCTGCTTTTGCTTCTTCTTTTCCTCTGCACATTCACTATGACCGTCGCGACGTAGGAGGAGTCGTGGCCTGTTCACACAATTAGCTGCTACTACAATTACAGATAAGCGGCTAAAGTTGCTTTGGCTCATTGTTTTCGCGACCTTGTGTTAAATTGTGGCCAACTTGTTTGCCCATTTGTGTTGCACCCAGCTCTGTGTAATGCTGCCTAGTCTTTAAGATTTGTAGTAGCAGCAACAAGTTGCACAGCTTTGTCCGCCTGTCGAACTGAGTGCGCTCCACATTTTGTTAAATTGGCTTCGCGCAGCGTTTTCTCGTTTATATATTTCCTTTTTTCGTGCTGCTAGCATTTTCGGAATACGGCTATTCGCTGGAAATTTGCGCCTGTGCAATAAATTTTAGGAAAAAAATGATTAAAAAAGTAGACGTCAGTCTGGCGACGCTGACTGCAGCTTTTTGCAGTTTTTATTTGCTTCCTGCTGTGTTGTCATGCATTACCGCAATGTGCAGTGTTGCCAGAGTGATCGAATGCGATCGATTTGCAACACCGCACATTCCATCTCGCTCTCGCCACTTACATTTGACAGCTGACAGCTGCTGAGTAAAGGCAGCTGCTGCTGCTGCTGCTGCTGTTTCTGATGTTGCTGCATGCCAAAGCAGCGCGCGCTAATTGCTCAGGTATGAAGCGCATAGAACAAGAGAGGCACATAATTACATGCACATAGCACACACATGCACACTCGTACATTCATGTGTTGGTAGTTGGTAATTTTGCAATTGGCATTTGCCGACTGCCGCTCTCCCCCCTCCCCTCTGCCAGTGTTGCTCAGCGTCGTTCATTAATGTGGCCATATTAGAAAATGCCATTACAGCGCGACATCCATCGCCATTGCCATTTGTGGGCAAATGTTAACTATGCCGCAGTTGCCTCAAAACGGGGCGAACTGTGCAGCGGTGCGTGGCGATGGCAGGGGTGCTTCTTTTCGCCAAACGCTGGCGAGTGAGGGGCGTGCAACTGTTACCGTTGGCTGCGTTTTTTTTTCTGGCTTTATGTTTTGCTACCTCTATCAATCGGCCATATTGCTCGGCAACATGTAAACAGGCGCTGCCTACTGCATACGTGACTAGACTATGAGTGAATGCTACTGCCACTGCTACTGTTGCGGCCGCTGCTGTTTGCACTTTGAGTTGTTGCTTGTTGATGGAGGCAGCTGCACTTTGAACATGACCGCTATCCACTTGGCCAAAGGATGGCCATTTACTTGGAACTTGGCACAATTTATATGTGAAAAATACACACGAATCATACAGCTGTGTACGTGTGTGTGTGGGTGTGCAAGTGTGTGTGCGTGGGCAGTTCATAGTTTTCTGCACACATGGCATCTGGCTGGCTATTAAGCTAATTTGCTACGTGTTAGCCAATGCCTGGCAAATTGAATGCCATCAAACACACTTGCCAATAGCTTATAGCCAGCACATGCCACATAAATTCTAGAAAAAAACGCAGAGCTCATAATATAAGCATGTTAACAGCATAGTTAAATGCCGATATTTGGAAAGAGTATAAAAGCTGCGACTTGTGAGCTTTTTATTGTCTTCTGCTGTCTTCTGTTCCAAAAAAATAAAAGAAAAAAAGAAGTAATTGCAGCCACAGTGGGAATAAATTACGCGCAGCCTGACCAAAAGATATGGCCCGCATCTGAGCAGCGCACAAAACCTGTTCCCACCTGCAACATGTCGCTCTGCCTGTGAGTTTGTGTGCGTGTGTGTACGTGTGTGTGTGTGTGCCGCCACAAAACTAAACAAACCAGCCAACGAAAATAAACCTTAAGGAAAAAACACGCTGCGTGCTACAGCCAAATAATTTCAACTAACCAACAAAAATGAGATACACACCCAAAAAAAAAAACGAAGAATGAAAAGATACAGATACAGCTACAGCTACAGCTATAGCTACAGATACTGTGCGTTATTGTCTGTTAGTTTTGTTATTTTTTTCCTTGTGTCTTAAGCATTCGACGCATTATTGTATTTCAAGTGCGCTGATGAGCATTTGATGGTTGCAGCCAAGTTTTTGCCCTGTGGGGCTAGAGGGGGAGGTGCAGGCACTTTGGATTGCTGGTTGAAATAATTTTTCGTTTAATTTTTCTCTTTCATTTCTTTTTGTTTTGTTTATTTTCCCCAAACAACATTTTGTTCTCACTTGAAGCGCAAAACCGAAATGTAAACCAAGCAAACTCGCGGCCAGACCAGTCAGAGATACATATATATCTTGCATATATGTACAGATACAGATACAGCTACAGATACATAGAGGCAGAGATAGAGATAAACACTTACATAGATATAGATGCGCGCTGTCAGCGCTGTGCATATAAACACAACAGCACCGAGTCTCGAAGAACCTGTGCAGTGCGGCGTGTGGCAATCGTCAGGTTGCATAAGCTGCAAGGCTGGCTCATAAGCAACTGCAGTTGGTGCACCTGGGAACCTATCCGGTCTCTTCCATGCTATATTTGCTCTTGTGGCAGATAACATTCTACGTCGCTTCGTCTGCCTCTTATATTGCGTTGTTTGCTTAACTTGGGCAGCAAATGTAGCTGAAAAGTGCGCGAACGTCGTCGCCGCAGTTAAGGCCACAAGTTCAACGGCTAAGAAACTTGTTGCGTGCCTTAAAGAACGGCAACTGGAATCTGCAGATTG